GAAGTCAAGCGCGAAGTGGCGAGGGTTCACTGTATATGGGATACTGTGTTAGTCTGGGTTGATTAGAGAAAGAAATTCATAGATACTCATAGGTATTAAAGAAAGAGCTTTATATAAAGAGTAATTGTACTTTAAGAAAACATCCCAGCCCAGTCCAGATCAAGTCCATAAGTCCAATTTTGGCCCATATGTCTGAGACCGGTCTACAACTTCCTCTTCAGACTCACACAACACATGCAATGACACTGAATGCAGGAAGATCACGGCCAGTGGGTGGAAAGTCTTGTAGATTCAGTGGCGGTAGAAGCATCTCAGCGCTAGCATAGGTCTCCATGTGGCTCCTCCAGCTCCAGGACTCGGGCTCCATCAGAGTAGCTCATGTGGCTTGTCAGCAGAAATGTCTTGGTGGGAGAGAGTGTATCTGGTCTCCAGTGAACTATTTGGCTCTGCCACACCTCCAAATGAGGTTATCCAGCTGCGACCTGATTGACAGGCTAGACTCCACCCTTCCTCAAGTGACAGTAGATTATGTAACTGCCACAGAGACAAATACTATGAATATTGGAATGTGAAATGTGTGAAGAATGAAACTAGGCAGAAAAAAGAAATTACCAAAAAGATGTTTATCTGTGTTTCATGGCATTTACAAAGGCATTTGACTGTGTGGATCACAACAAGTTATACGTAACATTGCAAAGCATTTAATACTCTTAAATGTGCGGATTTGAAGGCTTTACATAGACCAAGAGGCTGTTATTCAAATGGAACATACTTAGTTAAAATCTTAAAAAGTGTGCATCATGGTTGTGTTCTGTCACCATATTTATTCAACTTGAGCTGAGCAATTAACCAAAGAACCTGGGCTACAGGAAATAGGCCAGGGCAGCAGGGGAAGAAGACTCACTACCAACCTATTGTACTATGCAGATGACATAAACTTGCTTGCTGAAAAGGGAACACACTTAAAGCACTTACTGATGAACATCAGCCTACAGACTTCAGTATGAGGTATGCATCAACATAAAGAAAACAGAAATCCTCACAGCTAGACCCTAAGTATTTAAAACCAAAGACATCACTTTGAGGACTAAGGTACATTTGACCCAAGTCATAGTCTTTTCAATCCTCTAAAATATGTACAACAGATGGTCAAAAAATAAGTAAAACCAACGTTGAATAGATGTATTTCAATTATGGTGCTGGGAAAAATGTTGAAGCTGCCACATACTACCAGAAGTACACATAAATCTGTCCTGGCAATCCACACATACTGTTCCAAAGAAGCAAGGATGGCAAGGCTTCGTTTGGACCTGTTTTCAGGAGGGACCCGTCCCTGGAGAAGGACATAGTATAGAGGTAAACCAGAAGGTAAGAGGGGAAGAGGAGACTTTCCAGGAGATGGATTGGCACAATGCCTGCAACCATGAGTTCCAACATAACAGCCATTGTGAGGATTTATAAGACTGGGCAGTGTTTTCTTCCAGCTGCATTGGGTCTCTATGAATCAGAACCGTGATGTTGACATCTAACAACACCGATAAATTTTCTTGCAGTTTTTTTACATATTTGTTTTAACCTTTAATCCACCTGAATAAGTCTAGGGTTTAATTTTGGAAATGATGAAAGATGAAGATTTAGCATTGTTTCTAGATGAATACTTTGTCAGTTCCTTATGTTAAATAGCCCACCCTTTGACTCTAAACCAAAATGTTTTCTTGGTCATATATTAAATCCTCATTTCATATTTGACTCTACTTTGAAACCTTTTTCACATAAATATGTTTGTTTCTCCCTATTTTAATATCTCTGGAGTCGATCACAGGAGCTTTATGGGATGTTATGGTACCTGGTAGGACAGATTACACAAATGACTTCAGAGGTAGTTATGCAGTGCTCAGGTAAATGCATTAAGAACCTATTTTGCTGGACAACAAGCAAAAACCAATACATTGAAGTAGTTTCCGTGCAATTGAAATGATTCTTTCCGAAATCTTTTCTTTCCATGATGGATGTTTGTATAAAGCGAAGTTGGGTCTGAGATGTTTGATTTTGCTTATGAGGTCTTCAATAAGGGAGACTTCTTTGACACCTTTAAAGGGTGGTCCATGCTAACGGCACTGTTCTCTTGCTTGATTCACAGATGTGTTCTGAAAAGGCAACAGCCCTGACTGTGTCTTCAATGTAAGCTACAGCTGCTTGCACACAGGAGCACGACTCCAGTGGAAAGCCTGGCCTTTTCCTGAAGAGCAGTTCCATGGGTACTGTACCTGACCCCCTGAGATCAGCTAAAGCTTCTCTGATTGCAGCTCCTGGAAGCAAAGAGGACCTGGGAGAAGGACGCCCTGCCTCATGTCAGCACAGAGCAGCCCTCCTGTGTAACAGCACAAATGGCCTTTCAGGGGTGCCCACAGAAGCAGACCTCAGCCCCAGGGCAGTGCCTGTTGCCCTGACACTGGTTTGTGAGCATGCAACCACCCAGCCAGACATGTCTTCTCCCAGTGTCTTCAATGAGGTAGAGAACGCGCCTTCCACACTCAACTCTCCTGGTAAAACCCAGCTTCCAGGAAGCATCATGCCCACAGCTCCAGCCTCATGTTCCGCAGTAGAAAAGGATCGTACCCAGGCACCCTGTGCTATGCCAGCCAATCGTTGCATCAGCCAGGCCGTCCGGGCTGATCCGCTCAAGGCCAACTCCCCATGTGTACCTGAAGATGCCCATGTGAAGTCACAAAGAACCCCAGGGGGAGAGCAGCCTGACAAGCCACATGGGCCCGCAGTAGGCATCTGTGGTAGCAGCAAAATCCAAGTGCCCAGCGGTTCTCCTTCCCCAGAAACCATCCAGGGAATGGTGCCAATTCCAAACACAGCAACCCTAGTGTCCAGTCGTCCGGCCTCCCCTGTAGGTGGACCTGAAAGGGAGAAGCAGCAAGCCCTCTGTGAGTCTGAGGCACGGTCCTGTAAAGCTCCAGCTAAGGAAGCCAGGTGTTTCGAAAATCAACAGCCCTTGCCCACTGCCTTGGACAGCCAGGCCGTGACTTCTGTGACACCTCAGTCACCCCCCCTCTCTAGCCAAGGTCCCACGTGTCCTCCAGAACCAGAGCCGGGGCTGTTCCCAGAGCAGCATCGGGCCTCGAGGTTCAAAGAGGCCAGCACAATGACCCACCAAGCTGGCAGTGAGAGGAGCGAAGTCCCCGACAAGGCTCGGCAAGATGCCGAGGTGCAGGCCGTGGCAAGTGTGGAGAGCAGATCGGCCTCCACCAGCCCCAGCATCCTCACTGCTTTCTTAAAGGAAATCTCTGCTCCCGAGCGTTTTGAACAAGAACAGCTGCGAGTCATCTGTCACGGCAGTAGCGGCAGAAGCCACACGCTGGAGCTCTCCAATCGCGGGCTAGCCCCCCAGGAGGTGGGCCCCTGCTGCAGCATCTTGCCCGAGGAGCACATCCCAGCCTCTGCGGCAGGCCCCACAGCTCTGCAGGGGGAAGGTAACTCCGTGAACTTACCTGGCCAGGTCCTGCAAACCTCGCCCATCAAGGCAGCCTCCGATAACAATCAAGGTACTCACAAAGACCACGGGAGGTCGGCCGGAATGACTCCCAAGAGTGAAGAGCCCACCTCTAAACAACTTCCAGGTATGAATCCGAGCTCCCGAAAAGCTAGCCCCCTGGACCAGATTGTCCTCTGTGCAGGCAGTCCAGGCGAAGTCAGTCACGGCCCAGGCAAATATGAAGTCAACCCAGCTGAGTTGACCGTGATCTCAGTCAGTGGCTGCCCAACGGACCCAGACTGCAACCTGCCCAGCACTTGTGTCTCCGCCAGCCAAGCTGCTCAGTTTGAGACCTTGAACCCCGCTGAGAAGGGAGGTGCGGGAGAGAAGACGCCTGTGTGTCCTCACTTAGAAAAACAACCAGGGTCTACTGGCATTGACACCCCCGAAGCAAAGGCCAAGGCCGAGGCCAAAGCCACACTGCTCCAGCCCACATCTCCCGAAAGTGGAGTCACAGCATCATCAGCTGCTAACCCCACCCCGTCCTCGCTGCGGAAAAACCAGGAAAACACCTTCGAAGGAAATAAGCAAGGCAAGGCCGCCACGAGCCTGAACCTGCCTTCGGATTGCCTGGGTGACTCCAGCCCGGGTTCGGGCAAGAGGACCCCTTCTCGCTCTGTCAAAGCCAGCCCCCGGCGGGCCAGCCGGGTCAGCGAGTTCCTCAGAGAGCAAAAATTGAACGTGACAGCGGCCGCTGCCCAGGTGGGGCTCACCCCGGGCGAGAAGAAGAAGCAGCTGGGCGCCGATGCCAAGCTCCTGCTGAAGCAGTCCAAGCGCGTCCGGGACGTGGTGTGGGACGAGCAGGGCATGACCTGGGAGGTGTATGGTGCTTCCTTGGACCCGGAGTCCTTGGGTGTCGCGATCCAGAACCACTTGCAAAGGCAAATCAGGGAACATGAGAAATTCATCAAAGCGCAAAGCAGTCCGACCCGGAGATCCATCTCCTCGGATGCATCTTCGCACAGGAAGCTCAAAGGCAGGCCGCACAGCGTGTTCCAGTCGGTGCTGCAGAACTTCCGTCGGCCCAGCTGCTGCGTCCGCCCCGCGCCTTCGTCCGTGCTGGATTGAAGGGCAAGGCATGGGGGAGCCTCTGCACGTTTAGGATCTTCGGAGGTGTCGGTCTGATTGAAAGTTTATCCTGTTTTTCTAAGAGCCGTAGAAGAGAAAGAGCTCGTGAAAGCAAGTATTAAATTCTGAAAGTTGCTATCCAGAATTTTAAAGTCCTTTGTCCTGGACGCCATACGTAAAATTTTGAGAAACACCCATTTGAATTTGAAAGGAAAAAAGCGAAGTAAGTTTCACTGGATGTTTACAACCTTAGTTATGTGGAAATGATATTCACGTTTAAAAAAAATGTTGCTTGTCGAAATAACGTGATCATTATTTTGTATCATTTTGTATTACTGCCTCAAATGATCCTTACTACGGTATTTCCATTAAAATATTTGCTTTGCATTAGGAATTGCAAAAACACTCTTAGCAAAACACGTGCGAGGCCTATTGCAATAAGGGAGACGAATCCATGGGGCAGTGATTACGTGCCCCACTCCTAGACTGAAGGTCGGCAGTTCGAACCCAACAGCAGCAATAAGGGAGGCAGATGCGGCAGCCAGCTTCCGTCTCGGAAACCGGATGGGCAGCCCTGCGCTGCCTTGTAGAGCCACTGTCAGCGGAAGCGGCGTGAGGGGTGGGGGCTGGTTGTGGTTCTTCCTTTTGGTGTTCAGTTTATGGCAGTCAGCTCTTACTACACAAAATTCAAGTAGGTGATAAGAACAATAATATAAAAAATGAAAACATTTGATTAACTTCTAGGTCAGATGGCATAAAATAAAAGCATTTACTTAAGTGCATAAAATTCCAAATATCAATTAAGTTTGTAAACATATGCAAATAGCCCTTTTTATAAACCTTGTTAATCCTATTAATAAATACAATAATGCTATAATAGAGAAATTCGCTACTGTTCAATATGAATACTACCTACATAAAACGCAAATATAAATATACAGATTTTCCACTATTGAAGGTATAGAGGATATCTCTTTTGACGAGTTTGGGTTTTTTTGTTGTTTTGGTTTAGTTTTTATTCTATTGGAAGTACATGGGACTAAATTTTTGAAACAATGGTATAATCGGTGATAAGATTAGATATTGTAATCTCTGATTGCTTTCCAGAAATAGTCTATGGAGAATGTTATGGTTTGGGAAAAGAATACAAATATCCAACTACCAACCCCTGTCATTTCTATGCTGGATAAAAGGCAAGCCCTGTGAGTAACAAGAACAATGTTTATTTAGACCCTTTAAACAAGATGCATTTATATTTTCTTTTGCTGAGTTTCAGTAGTGTTGTCAATACCAACCGAGACGCACGTTTTCTCAGAGCATTTGTACGGGACCGGTATCATCTCATCATCTAGCATCTCAAGAAAAGGGCAGCCCCTGCAAACTGACCTACTTTAAGAGAAACCCCATCCTATCTCATGCCTTCAAACCCAGTTCAGGGAAGGGAACACGGAGTCTGAGCTTTGGGGGCAGGTCCCTGCTTCACTTTGGCATATACTTGTCCCCAGAGGAGAACCCTGGCCTAGGGGGAGTGTGGAACAGAGGGTTGACATAGGCCATGAGAAGGCTTCCCTTCTTGTTCCCACCATCTTCCTTTTAGAAAACCCATGTTGGAGGAGGCGCTGGTTGCCTTCTCTGAATTTCCATCCCCGATGGGCCAGAAAAGGGTATCTGACCATGTCTTCTCTGTCCAGAGATTTTTAAATACCATTTGCACAATATAGTCACAATATCTGTTTCTAGTTTTGTTGCTGTTGAATTCAGTCTTGCATATTCTAAACACATGGTGGGGGGGGGGGCAGAAGGGGAGCAGATGTCACGAGCTATGCTAGACACCTAAATTGGTAAAATGCTTTCCATTTTTTGTTCAAAGATTTTAACTGTATATAAAACCCTGACTTTTTATTTCTCTAATGCCCATATCCTGATGATAATTATAGTGAGTATAATTAGAAACTAATAATAAGGCACATTTTCTGGTTACTTACCAATTGACCTGCATGAAGTCTGCTGTGTAAAGTGGCAATTACAACCTATGATATTAATGATCTGAAACTCTCTTTGGGTGTGAATTATTTAATTTTTATAGTGATTTGGCTGTGTCTGTTGTTTCATATACCATATACTTCCCCAGGAAGTAATGACTCTGCTAGCTCCCCACTCTCTCACGCAGGCATGCTCCCTGTATTCACAGAATGCTCTCTGTGTACAGTCGCAGCTGTCAACAGGGCCCACTCCAGATGGGTCAGCCCTAGGCAATCCTCTGCTGTGAAGCATCTTGGACAGGCTGTTCCTGCATAGAATAGGAAGGAAAAGTCATTCAGCATCGGGCAATAATACTTATTTTCATGAGTTTGGAGTAATCACATGATTTCTACATAGTAAAAGGAAGAGACCTAAGAGAGTCGTAGACATTCGCCCTAAAGGAAATAAATGGAAACTCCTTAAGGTGGCATTGTCGATAGGTCGCAAATGAAAACTTTCTGGACGACTATTTGCTGCAGTCATTACACCGGTGTTGTCGGTGCTAGGACCAAGTGAGTGGCTTCTCCAGTGCTCCAGGCACTCTCACTATGTATTACAAGAGCTCCTCGTTGTGTTGGCCTATCAAATGCTATAGAGCTAACAGTTTTCAAAAAAATAGACCAGAAACATGCCATCAAATAGCTAAATGAGGTGGAAGCCTATTCAGAGAGTGTTTTTGCATTATGACAGCACAAGGGGTTCTCACAATTAAACGTCTGTGGAGAATTCTCCATACAACATAGATATTTAGTTCTCAGGCGTGACACCTGGCGTTTGTTCAACAAAAGTCTCAGGCCATCTTTTCTGGCAGACTCTTTAAAATTGCTCAGTTATTCCTTCCTTCATGACACCTCCCTGGGTTGAAAGTTATTTTGGTTTTGCCCTTAATTTCTTTTCGATACAATGCAGTCATTCTGAACACACTTTCATTTTCAAAATATGTGGAAGAAATGTTTTATTAAATCAAGAAATAAAACATATTTCTTAAACTTGGAGCACAGGGGGTTAATTAGGAGTATCTGAGTATCTGGAAGATAAACATTCAAAATGCTAACGATGCTTTACTCAGCCTATACTAGTAGTTAAAATTTAAATGTTGATTTTCCATTTTTATAAACACACATGAAAACCAAAGGCCATAGTCCCAAAGCTTCTGTGTGCTGTCCAAATGATGTCTTTCAAGATTACTGCCTTTGATACTGTGCATCAACTATAGTTAAATATTTTACATAAGGTAAAATGCTCACTAGCTTTGCTGTGTTGGATCAGGGGCCTGTTTTGAATGTTTCTTAAATCAAGGTTAACTAGCCACCTGTTTCGCTCTGTTTTTTCCTCCAACGTGAAATAGCTAGAAAGTGTATTCGTGTGTTTTTCCACCTTGACAAGTTCAACTCTGCAGAGCGTAATTTGATCATTGATGAGGTTTCCATCTTCACAAGTTGTATTATAATTTTAGACACATATTTTTATATGTTAAGCACCAGAGCTGAAAGAAGTTGTGCTGAATAAGCATGCCCAAGATGCCTAGAGGCTGAATTTTGGAACCAGACCCTTATAGAAGCTTGTAGTTTCAATGTAAAAAGCAGAACGGAAAGTAGCATTGTTTGCACCCCAGAATGTTGAGGGTTTAATGTTCCTAGCTTCTTCTCAATGTTGATTCTCCTTTCTGGGGATTCTGACCATTCTGGCAATCCCTATATACTACACCAAATATCCTGAGACTTTAAAACTTTGCTTACAGAGACTACAAACCAAAAAGAAAAAAACCTACTGTTAATGAACACCACTTGACTTTTGATCTATCTGCTTAGTTACTCTTCTGTTCCCCAGATGTGAGAAATTGCTTTCTGCCTCCTATATATTGTACAAGTTTTAAATTTTGTTTTCTTCCCATTTATAGTATCACATAATTGACCATATTCCTTGACTAATTTTTAAGAATCAGTATAAAGAAAAATAATACATTAAGATATGTTTTGTATATGTGTTTTTGCTGAGAACTGCACCTGTGTAGGTTTGTGTCGGCTCTAAATGCCTGATTTACTAATTGTCTACAATGCTGCCCTGGAGCTGAAGCTGTTTACTCTCTGCTGCTTTGTCCTAAGTGGTGTTTGCAGAATGAGGACTGTGAATTTCCCTTTGTGATAATAGTGCATTGAACTCTGCAGTATCTTGGATAAGTGAACTGCCCCAGCTTTCTTCCACCCTTGTTTTGTCTGCAAGCTGGGTGAGAAATCGTGACGGTGTCTGTTTCCGTGTTTGCACTTTTCACATTAAGATCTGAGCATTTTGCTTTCTGCTAGCGATTTGCCTTGTGGGGCCTTTTTCGTTGCATTGCTCCAAATGTGGGTTCAGCTGCTGCACCTGGCAATGAACAGGGGATGGGCTGAATCTCCTGTCCTTCCTTGTAATTAGAGCTTCACAGTGAAATTCTTCAAGTGGCTGAGTTATTAGAAATGCCCGGGTCCATGAGCTTAAGGATGTCTATAAAATGTTAGACACTTTTTCAAAGTGAGAAAAAGAGCCTTGTAAATACTGTCAGAAGAATTCCACGAACTTTATTCTACTCTTAGGGGGGTGGTAAGAAACACCTCTTGTCTCCACGAATCAAATGATCTTCATGTGCCATGTTCAAGGACACAGCTGCAGATGGACTGACGTGGGCAAATGGTCTTACAAAGAACCAGTGCCATCTGCCAGAGGTCATTCTAGCTTCTTCTAACTGAACACTCACCAGCTAAACTAGTCACTTGCCACAACCAAATAACCTCTCTCAAAATAAATTCGATACATCTGGATGTATGTTTAAAGGAAAGGAAAAAACAGCAAACCTGAAAATCTCCTGGTTGGCATTAGGTAAGCCAAGGTCATGATAATCATAAAGGACATTCAAGTCACCACAAAGGCCTTGATGACCAGACTGTGGGGCCAGAATGGTGCAACCAGATGTCATTTATAAGTTGTTGTTGTGTGTATGTCTTTTTAAGATCCAGATATCTCAGATACTAATCGTGAGAATAAAGACTGTGGTATATGAAACTAAAGCCAAGCAATAATGTGCCACAAAGAGGCAGTTATACCAGCAAGCACGTCTACCCTGGGCACATCATGATGTGATATGGTTTGCTCTCTTAACAATTGTAACCCATAAAATAAAATAAATGAAGGCGTATGTTCTGCTTTCTTGCTGGAAAAACTTGTTTGGGAGTTGCATCAAGAGCTACACCACTCGTGAGTATCAGAAAAGATATGGTTAATCTCTCTCTTTATGCGAGTTAAGAAAAAAGGGTCACCGCATACCTTGCTGGCGATGAACTCAAGACAACTATCAGTAACTTTGCTGAAATAGAGGGGCTAAGCATATAGTAGTTACTCTTCCAAGACACTAGCATGCAGAAAAGCAATTCAATTAACTCTGCCCAGAGCATTGCCACCTTAGCTATTGAAAGCAAAACAAAAACAAATGAGCTCTCAAATGCAGAATAATTCAAACATGAGTCCGCATATCAAAAGAAGCCTCATGTAATGCCTTACAGAAAATCATGCTACAAGTGGGCATTCTAAAATACTAGTGCTTTATTGAGCTACTATGGGTTCTAGCTAAAAATGGATTGGATGCAAAAGAACAGGAATTAAAACAATGTGATTTACACTTCCCAAAAGATACCGATGATCAACTAGCCTGCTGGGCAATCTGAGATAACCCAAGTGGCTTAAGTGTGTTAGGGAGGATGAAATGGGAAGGGAACGCTAACTTCTTTCTGGATAGCTTGAGTTGCGGGAGGGTAGGGCTCATCCATTTATTTCTGGGGTGAAATTATAGCTTGCTTTGTGACATTGATGCTAGTACAAATTATGTCTATTATTTAGCAGATAATTAAGCAGTTACACTTTTTTATTCAAATTATCGTTTTTTAATAACATTTAAAGGCTGTGAATAAAAGTCAAGTCAACCAGATGAGTAGAGGGGGCTTACTTATTATGTTTATCACCATCCTGTGTTGACTTTAATGTAGATTCTTTAGATTTCAGTTCAGACCATGCCTTTGAGTAAATTATTTTTTTATAATGTTTTTTTCATCACGTCTTTAATGTTTGTAAATCAAGAGATTGCAGTATTATAATCATACTCCCAAACCTCTAGAGGAAGGGAGTGACATTCTTCTTTTATGGGCATGTGGAGTTATTTTTTATTCAAGTCAAGAAAGGTCAACATGGCCTGAAAACTCAGAAAGAAAAGTACACAAAAATCCAAATGTATTTATTCTGCTGTACTGCTGTATGAAGAATACATTGTGAGTGATACTGTAGTTCATTGTGGTATGTCAATACAGTCTGTATGTGTGTTCAGTCCGTGAGTGATTGATTTTCTATTGGCAATGTGTAGAGGGAAAAAACATGTGGTACCCCATTTTAAAGCCAAGTTCTTTCATCAGGTAGGCACATGTACAAGATTAAAGGAAGCCAACAAAAATGCATGTGTATTCAACAAAAGAATTTTTCTTTCCATTTATGTATGTCGGAAAGGGCTGTTTTCTTTTTTTATTGTTTTTGTTTGTTTTTCATTTCATAGAATAGTTAACATAGTTATCACAAAGGCTGAATAAAGTAACCAGTACATCGACATGTTACTGAACAGGCCAGGCTTAATCAATCACACCATTAGATACAGGTAAGGTCAGTTGTCTGGCCACTGTGTTGATTGACATTTGTATACATCCCCTCTGTGTTGTGTGTGACTAAAATGTACCTA